CTACAAAACTTCCAGGAGGGTACCATACAACATCTTCTATGGCAGCAGCAGCTTGAAGCAGCAATACAAATAGACTCGAGGCAAATGAGATGGCATCCCATACTTTTACGATGGTGCATCGCCCTTCATGCAAAGTCACCTTCAGCATATAAGATGATAAACTGTTATCACAGAGATATGTCTCGCCTTTTTGTAGTTTTGATAATGCAAATGTTGAAATTAAAATAGCAATACTTTAACATATAAGTTATGCAAATATTCAAAGTCGATGAACCATGACTGAAGGTACATGGCTAAACAATCTCCATGGAATGAGATGTGCCAATGCTAATACAACTGCATACCAAATACCATTGACTTATTATAAGTCGTTCCCTTTAAACAAAGGTTTTTAACCTAAACACAAACATTAACTTGTAAACTATGTAAAAGTTTCAAAGTCAATGAACCATGATCAGGGGTGGGGCTATATAATCTCCATGGAAACGATACTTGCAAATGCCAATAAATTTGCATACCAAATATCATTCACTTAACATTAGCAGTTCATCTTAAACTTATCTAATCACAAACTAATACATGTAAACTAAGCAAAAGTTTCAAAGTCAATAGACCATGACTGAGGGGGCGGGGCCAAATATTCTCCATGGAAATGAGATGTACTAATGCTTATACAACTGAACACCAATTAACATTGGCCTACCACTAATGGTTCCCCTTGAACTGACCTAATCACAAACTAATACATGTTAACTTAGCAAAATTTTCAGTCTATAGACCATGACTAAGGGGGAAGAGCCAAATAATTTCCATGGAAATGAGATATGCCAATGCTTATACAACTGCATACCAAATATCATTGACCTACCACTAGTGGTTCCCCATAAATTGACCTAATCACAAACTAATACATGTAAACTATGAAAAGTTTCAAAGTCAATAGACCTTGACTGAGGGGGCGGGGCCAAATAATCTCCATGGTAATGAGATGTGCCAATGCTAATACAACTGCATACCAAATATCATTGACCTACCACTAGTGGTTCACCATGAACTAGACCTAATCACAAACTAATACATTGTTGACGCCATCGCCGTCGCCGTCGCCGACGCCGGAAACAGCATACCTATGTCTCGCTTTTTGACTCCGTCAAGGCGAGACAATAAAAAACAGAAAAATCCTTACTCTTCCTTGCGAAAATACGCTGAGATATTATACAAAATTCACAGATGCTGGTAGTGGATGGAATTCAGATGTAATTGAGAGAATTATAACGGATCATGAAGTTGATGAAAACGTTTTGAAAAGTGAAGTGAGCTTGCTCTTTGATGAAGTAAAAATAAAATCAGGACTGGTCTATTGTACTGAAACCGGGATATTAATAGGATTTTGTGACTTAGGAACAGTGAATAACGAACTTCATACATACAATGCCAAAGCAAAAAAGAGTACCAGAACTAGCAACACATATTTTAGCGTTCATGATAAGAGGAATATTTAGCCGTATAGAATGTGTAGTAGCCCACTACCCGTGCAAAGGTTTTACCAGTGAGCAACTATTTGTTTCAGTATGGGAAGGGGTTGGCCTATTGGAGTGTTATGGTTTTAAAGTAAGGGCTTTAATCTGTGATGGTACTACACCGAACAGGAAATTCTATAGGGTTCACGGCAATGGACAGGATATTTGTCACCGAACAGTTAATCCATTCAATCTGAACAGAAATTTATACTTTATATGTGACACGCCACACCTTCTCAAGACCACTAGAAATAATTTTGAAAACTCTGGATGGAACAACAAAACAAGAAATTTGCATGTGAATTCAAATTTAATATGTAGAGCTAGATTTTCTAATACTTCAAAGCAACTTTAAATATATTGTCTTCGATTATAAGCAACATGCTTTCACTTCTTTATTTTAAAATACTGGATGTCATTAAATAAATATGTCAGAAGTAAAAAAAAAAACATGGCAAAATATGGCAGCTCTTACCTCAGCACCAGGAGTGTGAATATATATATATATATATATATATATATAAACAAGTCTAAATTGAAAACAACGTTCAAACCTATGATTGCGTTGGATAAAAACCGCAATTTTTATACGTGTGCATGCAAAACAAATTTCTTGATAGAGGGGTCTAAATACAGCACAAACAACATTTTCCAAAAGGTCTTTTGGAAAATGTTGTTTGTGCTGTATTTAGACCCCTATATATATATATATACATTTGAGATCCCCTGGCCACACTAAGGCAGATCTCAATCGACTGACCATTACAATCATTGACCACAAGTCTGCTTGGTCTAGGGAGGATAGACTCACTCGGGAAAGATTTTGGATAAGAAAATTAACAACTTTGGCACCAAATGGGATAAATGAAAAGATGTAGTTCGACTCCATGCAGTGCTTCACATTTGGGTTGTATTACTTTTTATTACAGTCTCTGTTTCTATTTCTTTACCTTACTCATCTCTAAAATAAATCTGTTGAATATACCAATTTAAATTGCTTAATTTTTTGAGGGATGTAAAAGTACCAAGCCACGTTCAACTAGTTAACCTTAGTCAAAATTTATTATTATATTTTAACGGCCGTTTGTTTGCGATGTTTAAATACACAGACTCTGTTGCAACTACTCTACCGTTGTCAAATTTGAAATATTTACAAATTTAGATCGTTCAGTGCTGTTTATTTGGAATTCTTATTGACGCAATCGTTCTTGTAACACCATAACTGTCGTCACCGTTAAAGCTTTAGAATTGTGCTAGTTCATATCGCACATTATTATTTTTATTTAAAGCATATATTTGAACTCTCTGTTGTAATTAGTCATATAACCTATGTCGTGTTTAACACATATTTAGAATTGTGCAAGCGTCTTACCTGATGTTCGGTTTGACATTTTTATTGCATAAATTTCAAGATTTGTATAGTTTAATCTAAGTAGACTGATATATGATTCATTCAACATCACAATCATATTTACTGATGAAGGATATCTGTTATCCGAAATATTTATAAATAATTACATTTATAGTTCCTTTTTTTGTTATTGGTGTTGTTGTGTACACTTTTTAGGCGTTTATATATATATATATATATATATATATATATAAAGTGCCTAGAAAATCAACATAAGAGTTAGATCTGATTCTTTACTACCTCCCGGAGCGGGGCTGGAACCTGTACTTTTTATTTCTCATACATACATGTATATATATATATATTTATATACAAGTCTAAATTGAAAACAACGTTCAAACCTATGATTGCGTTGGATAAAAACCGCAATTTTTATACGTGTGCATGTAAAACAATTTCGTGGTAGAGGGGTCTAAATACAGCACAAACAACAATTTCCAAAAGACCAAAAAGAGTGAAAAAGTATATTTTAACAAAACGCATTTGACTAACAGGTCGAACAACTGATGTTCTTAAACCCTGCTAACTGCCATTGACGATTGCCAAATAAATTGATCACAAGATTTAACAAAATGGATCTTAATATTAATTTAATACCAAACAGAAAACAATAAACTTGCGGGAAAGATGGTATACCACAAACATGAGGTGCAAAAATTTGTACACCATATCCGGATTTCGACAATTAATGTCTCTTCAGTGATGTTAGGAATCGAAACGGTATTTGGAAGGCCATATAATTTATCTCAATTTAGGATAGACTCTTGAATTTTAAAGAGTCGAAATAGGATGAACGGATCATATAAACCCGAGGGAAAATATAATACAAGCCCAAACGAAAAAATATAAACAAGTCTAAATTGAAAACAACGTTCAAACCTATGATTGCGTTGGATGAAAACCGCAATTTTTATACGTGTGCATGCAAAACAAATTTCTTGATAGAGGGGTCTAAATACAGCACAAACAACATTTTCCAAAAGGTCTTTTGGAAAATGTTGTTTGTGCTGTATTTAGACCCCTATATATATATATATATATATATATATACATATATATAAAGTGCCTAGAAAATCAACATAAGAGTTAGATCTGATTCTTTACTACCTCCCGGAGCGGGGCTGGAACCTGTACTTTTTATTTCTCATACATACATGTATATATATATATATATATATACAAGTCTAAATTGAAAACAACGTTCAAACCTATGATTGCGTTGGATAAAAACCGCAATTTTTATACGTGTGCATGTAAAACAATTTCGTGGTAGAGGGGTCTAAATACAGCACAAACAACAATTTCCAAAAGACCAAAAAGAGTGAAAAAGTATATTTTAACAAAACGCATTTGACTAACAGGTCGAACAACTGATGTTCTTAAACCCTGCTAACTGCCATTGACGATTGCCAAATAAATTGATCACAAGATTTAACAAAATGGATCTTAATATTAATTTAATACCAAACAGAAAACAATAAACTTGCGGGAAATATGGTATACCACAAACATGAGGTGCAAAAATTTGTATACCATATCCGGATTTCGACAATTAATGTCTCTTCAGTGATGTTAGGAATCGAAACGGTATTTGGAAGGCCATATAATTTATCTCAATTTAGGATAGACTCTTGAATTTTAAAGAGTCGAAATAGGATGAACGGATCATATAAACCCGAGGGAAAATATAATACAAGCCCAAACGAAAAAATATCAACAAGTCTAAATTGAAAACAACGTTCAAACCTATGATTGCGTTGGATAAAAACCGCAATTTTTATACGTGTGCATGTAAAACAATTTCGTGGTAGAGGGGTCTAAATACAGCACAAACAACAATTTCCAAAAGACCAAAAAGAGTGAAAAAGTATATTTTAACAAAACGCATTTGACTAACAGGTCGAACAACTGAAGTCTTAAACCCTGCTAACTGCCATTGACGATTGCCAAATAAATTGATCACAAGATTTAACAAAATGGATCTTAATATTAATTTAATACCAAACAGAAAACATATATATATATATATATTAACTATAACTGTCTCTATTTATATTTCAGTTTAATGGTTTACCAATTAAATGGTCGCAAATTGTTCGCCTTGTTGAAGATGATATTCATGGTATGGGTTTGAGGCTTTTGCCAAAGCTGACATATGAACATATTCATCTAACACCTACTCTTAGAATGCGTGTGAAGCTTGCTGTTCAGGTATGTGTTTGAAATCTGTTTAACAGTGCATATAAGCGTCGACTATGCATTTATAAAGGCAATTGTTGAACATTTGATTTTTTTCTTCATTTTTTGCCTTAGTACATAATACAAATTTTATTCTTTAAATAAAAGGCAATCAGTTCATCCCCCCTCCGCCCACAATGAAAATTAATTAAAGGAGATGTGGGCTTTACATCAATGGGACAACAACTAAACAACAAGAAACAAAGAAAGACATCTGAATTCCAACACAACATACAGTTGAATTTTTTTTTATTTAGATATTGTCTTGTACCATATAAAAGCTTTAGTCATTCAATTCATATCAATTATAACTTATTGCCATGTTTACTTTAATTGAAGGTATTGAGTAGTAGTGTGGCGGCTGCTTTGCAACTACATAATCGTGCTGAATCAAAGTCAACTGAAACTTTCATCCGCATGTTTGACCAATTTTTTGACTGTTTGAATGTCAACAACATAACAAATGGGACATACCATAGGAAACCAGTATTATGCACATATACAGATGTCAATGATTGGAGATTTAAGGTACTTATATTTCAAAACATTGTAAATTTTTCATTGATGAGAAACACTTAAGAAAATGATTTAATGAGGATTTGCCGAATTTAACAAACCAATTATTTTAATTGTTTTTTTTTTCCAGTGGCTCATTGATGAATTTATGGGGTTCCTGGACCGTTGGGAAATGGAAGGGCAACTACACAACAATCTGACAGCCAAAGAAAGAAAACAGCTCTGCCTTAGTCGAGAAACATTGGAAGGACTGCGTATTTCAGGTATAATGAAAGCTACATTATAGGTTTATATTCATGTCATAACATCTTCACGTCCTGAATATGCATTTAATTTGCCACTGGACGTTTAACAGCTGTTTGATCTTTAAATTGTTTAAAATTAGATAGTAAATTTTGTTATTGAAAATTTAAATATTTGCATGATGAAAAGAAAAAAGAAATGACCATTAAAAAGATTGTATCTTATAGGTGCACCTTGTCTCATTCACTTTTCAAGTCTTAAGAGCATTTATGATATTAAACTTTGTTCATTTTTCAGTGAAATCCTTTGTAATGCTTGGTAAAGAAATGTTATCACTACCTGGTGTGCATTTTCTTTTGAGTGAAAAAAATAATCAAGATCCCCTGGAGCAATACTTCAGCAAACAACGAGGAATGGGAGGATTTTGTGACAACCCAACTGTACGCCAATTTCAGCACAATGCCCTTCGACTTCAGGTCTCTGGTGCTCCAAGCGTGCTTGCTGCTAGCTGGGGAAACTGCAAAGTTTTTCATAATGGACAATATAATGCATCAACATTGCAAAGGAGGAAACTATAATAGTACAGTTTTAAATTGATTTCACTACAGCAATACATGTAAATATTTTTTATGGCATTCAGTTTTCCTTATTGAGCTCTCGTCGCATACTTTTCTCAGATTTTTTGACAGTTTTGAGTCCTCTTGCTTCAGAACAAACATGTATATATTGGAGAATGCTTTTAACCTCAGATTAATCCAACATGTGATAAATTTTGTAAATAAATAAAACTTTATCTTTTCATCAATATCAAAGTCCTGTATTATTTCATTAAAGGAAACATTAACGTTGTCACTGTTTTCTATTTTTGTCATTAGTTGGGTCTTGGTCATGCGTAGACTTTCATCAGTGTTTGTCAAATCTGAGTGGACAATAAGTTCCATAGATCGAAAAAAAAAGATACACATTGTCAGGAACAAGGAAAAGCCCTCCACGGTTTACAATTTCAATTCATTCTTTTGTGTATGCAAACACATTAGAATTATTGACACTTGACTTTTTATTTTGAAGTGAGCATAGAATAGAAAAACATGCCTTTGCTTTTTCATTCTTCTGGAAATTTTTAAAATGTTTCAGGAGTTTTTTACAAATGTATCCAGAAGTGTATCTCAGCACCTTTTCCTCTGTCCCTGAAAGTTTACATTGAGCATTTTGGCCTGGGTTTTCTGATTCTGAAGTAATGCATCGTTTTCTTAAAAGTTCAGCAAAGAGTCTCTGAATAATAAACTGACCAATTACCATAAGCATTGGTATATTTGCCTCCATTTGTAGGTCCTCTGTTATCTGTATGAAAATTGTACTGATTGTATCAGAAATTCATGTGTTGTGAAACATTTGCAGTTTTCTTTCCATTTTCACAGATTTAAGTGATTTAGTGTCATCAGCAGCAGTAACAGATGGCCACAATTGTTCCAGCAACTCCTGACATTTTGAAACAGTTTTTTCTGACGTGGAGTCAGAAAGATATGATTTCATAGTTGATAAATATTCTTTACAAGTACTGTTTGATCTGTTGAAATAATCTGTTTCTAGTTTGTTGAGTGTCGAAAGAACTAATTCTTTTGCTTCTGATTGAGCTTTTGTAAGTGTATAACCTAGACAAAAAAAATGATATCATTGCAGACATTTTGAAAAAGACAACTTTTTCTCTTTCAATTTTGTTAAGAGTAAACTATGATGAAATACAATCCAAATTAAACAAAAACAAAAGAAGTCCCTTCCTTCATCTTTTTATTATAATGTCCACAGACATTTGCATGCAGAAATGTACTTCCCTTTAACTTTATTTTGAAAACAAAATTCCTGTCCTTCGTCTTTTGATTTAATACCCATAGACAAAATATTTCATGAATATACAGGACTATTAAAAGATGACAAAAATGCAACTAACGTAGGAACAGATAACTTACATATTCAAGCAACATAGAGTATATCAAAGTTATAATTATTTAAAAATAGCTTTTAAAAAGGAATCAATTGATTGAAAACTAAGTTTCAGACAGAATAATATAATAACTTACTGTTTTCAATGGAAGCAGATTCAATTTTATCAGACTTTTTCAAATTCTTTCTACCTGTCAAATTATAAAATACAAATATTATTGCATAGCAAAGAAATGTAACTCATAATACAAGATTCGGGTAAGGATACGGCAATTTTTAAAAGGGGGTGCCAACCCCCATTACACCCATGACACCTAAACATAATTAAACAAAATAATAATCGAAAAAAAGGGTTAGGGTTCCAACTCCTAGATCAGCTAATGTAGATTGAAAAAAATCTCTTCAAATTCAACTTCTTATAAGAAATACATCTTTATACATGAAACTGCATTATTTGCTTGTATTTTTATTATAGTATAGTGTGCACGCCTATAAATATATATATATATTTATATATGTACGTCTGAAGCAGTGACGACTCTACATATATATATATATATTCACTCTTTTGGTCTTTTGGAAAATGTTGTTTGTGCTGTATTTAGACCCCTCTAACAAGAAATTTGTTTTGCATGCACACGTATAAAAATTGTGGTTTTTATCCAACGCAATCATAGGTTTGAACGTTGTTTTCAATTTAGACTTGCACATATATATATATTATATATACTTGGTGGTGCTCCTACTAAAGGAGGGAGATACAGAACATACATACATACTTGGTTTGCACTAATTTCATGTTCTTTCATATTAAAGATACAACGTAGTTTTCAGGATAATCTAAATTTTGAGAGAGAAAAATTAGCATTTAAATGTAAAAATCTAGCAAATAATGTTCAGATGGCTATTAAGCCTTCCAAGTCCGAAATGAATACATGAATATTAGCGGAGTTTTGAACAGGCATGTATTTATAAAATTGGAAAATAATAGTTCGTATATATATACAATGTATAGAACACAATAGATATGACCTTCCATAATTACTTCAGCAATCGTCATCAAACACAGTAGATACGACCTTCCATAAATACTTCAGAAATATTCATAAAACACAATACACATGACCTTCCACAAATACATGAGCAATCTTCATTAAACACAATAGATAAGATATGACCTTTCATAAATACTTTACCAATATTCATAAAACACAATACATACATCCTAAATAAATACTTTAGTAGCAATCTTCATAAAAAACAATTCATATGATCTACCATAAACAATTCAGCAATATTCATGAAACACAATACATAGGACCTTCCATAAACACTTCAGAAATATTCATAAAACACAATACATATGACCTACCATAAATACTTTTGCAATCTTCATAAAACACAATACATTTGACCTACAATAAATACTTTAGTAGCAATCTTCATAACACACAATACATATGACCTACCATAAACAATTCAGCAATATTAATAAAACACAATACATATGACCTACCATAAATATTTGTGCAATCTGTATAAAACACAAAACATTTGACCTACCATAAATATTTAAGTAGCAATCTTCAAAACACACAATACATACGACCTACCATCAACACTAAAGCAATCTTCATAAAACACAATAGGTATGACCTTCCATAAATACTTTACCAATATTCTTAAAACACAATACATATGACATACAATACACATGAGCAGCAATCTTCATAAAACACAATTCATATGACCTACCATAAACACTTCAGCAATCTTAATAAAACACAATACATATGACCTACCATAAATACTTTTGCAATCTGCATAAAACACAATACATTTGACCTACCATAAATATTTTAGTAACAATCTTCATAACACACAATACATATGACCTTCCATAAACACTTCAAAAATATTCATAAAACACAATACATATGACTTTCCACAAATACTTGAACAATCTTCATTAAACACAATAGATAAGATATGACCTACCATAAACAATTCAGCAATATTCATCAAACACAATACATATGACCTTCCATAAACACTTCAAAAATATTCATAAAACACAATACATATGACTTTCCACAAATACTTGAACAATCTTCATTAAACACAATAGACAAGATATGTCCTTCCATAAATACTTCAGCAATATTCATAAAACACAATACATATGACTTTCCACAAATACTTGAACAATCTTCATTAAACACAATAGATAAGATATGACCTTCCATAAATACTTCACCAATATTCTGAAAACACTATACATATGACCTACAATAAATACTTTAGTAACAATCATCACAACACACAATACATTGACCTACCATAAACTTTTGAGCAATCTTCATTAAACACAATAGATAAGATATGACCTTCCAAAAATACTTCAGCAATATTCATAAAGCACAATACATATGACCTACCATCAATACTTTTGCAATCTTCATAAAACACAATAGGTATGACCTTCCATAAATACTTTACCAATATACTTAAAACACTATACATATGACCTACAATGAATACACTAGCAGCAATCTTCATAAAACACAATTCATATGACCTACCATAAACACTTCAGCAATATTCATAAAACACAATACATATAACCTACCATAAATAATTTTGTAATCTGCATAAAACACAATACATTTCACCTACCATAAATATTTTAATAGCAATCTTCATAACACACAATACATATGACCTACCATAAACACTTGAGCAATCTTCATTAAACACAATAGATATGATATTCCATAAATACTTCAGCAATCTTCATAAAACACAATACATATGACCTTCCATAAATACTTCAGCAATATTCATAAAACACAATACATATGACCTAAAATAAATACTTTAGTAGCAATCTTCATAAAAAATAAATCATATGACCTACCATAAACAATTCAGCAATATTCATCAAACACAATACATATTACCTTCCATAAACACTTCAGAAATATTCATAAAACAGAATACATATGACTTTCCACAAATACTTGAGCAATCTTCATTAAACACAACAGATAAGATATGACCTTCCATTAATACTTCAGCAATCTTCATAAAACACAACACATATGACCTACCATAAATACTTTAGCAATATTCATAAAACACAACACATATGACCTACTATAAATACTTTTGCAATCTGCATAAAACACAATACATTTGACCTACCATAAATATTTTAGTAGCAATCTTTATAACACAAAATACATATGACCTACCATAAACACTTGAGCAATCTTCATTAAACACAATAGATATGACCTTCCATAAATAATTCAGCAATCTTCATAAAACACAATAGATATGACCTTCCATAAATACTTCAGAAATATTCATAAAACACAATACACATGACCTTCCACAAATACTTGAGCAATCTTCATTAAACACAATAGATAAGATATGACCTTCCATAAATACTTTACCAATATTCATAAAACACAATACATATGACCTAAAATAAAAACTTTAGTAGCAATCTTCATAAAACACAATACATATGACCAACCATAAATAATTTTGCAATCTTCATAAAACACAATACATATGACCTAAAATAAAAACTTTAGTAGCAATCTTCATAAAACACAATACATATGACCTTCCATAAATACTTCAGCAATCTTCATAAAACACAATACATATGACCTTCCATAAATACTTCAGCAATCTTCATAAAACACAATACATATGACCTTCCATAAATACTTCAGCAATCTTCATAAAACACAATACATATGACCTTCCATAAACACTTCAGAAATATTCATAAAACACAATACACATGACCTTCCACAAATACTTGAGCAATCTTCATTAAACACAATAGATAAGATATGACCTTCCATAAATACTTTACCAATATTCATAAAACACAATACATATGACCTAAAATAAATACTTTAGTAGCATTTTCTGCATAAAAAACAATACATATGACCTAAAATAAATACTTTAGTAGCATTTTCTGCATAAAACACAATACATATGACCTAAAATAAATACTTTAGTAGCATTTTCTGCATAAAACACAATACATATGACCTTCCATAAATTTGATTTTGATTTTTTGGTTTTTTAACGCCAATTTTAGCACCTTTTGGGCTATTTCGGGGCGGCCAGTTTTTATTGGTGGAGGAAGCCGGAGTACCCGGAGAAAACCACCGACCTTCGATAGGAAAACTGACAATCCTAGTCAATTAAGATTGGAGTCGAGTGCACCCGCTTGAGCAGGGTTCGAATTCACAACCTCAGTGTTGACTGGCAAGTGATTATAGTAGTAACTACTTAAACCACTCGGCCACCGAGGCCCCTACCTTCCATAAATACTTCAGAAATATTCATAAAACACAATACATATGACCTTGAATAAATATTCCAGCAATCTTCAAAAAACACAATACATATGACCTTTCATAAATACTTCAGCAATCTTCATAAAACACAATACACATGACATTCCACAAATACTTCAGCAATCTTCATTAAACACAATAGATAAGATATGACCTTCCATAAATACTTTACCAGTATTCATAAAACACAATACATATGACCTAAAGTAAAATCTTTAGTAGCAATCTTCATAAAAAAACAGTTCATATGACCTTCCATAAATATTTCAGCAATCTTCATAAAACACAATAGATATGACCTTTCATAAATACCT